TGTTTCTTCCATCTTTCGTTTGTTCTGCCTCCTGCCAGTCAAAACAGCTACCATCTCATGCCAATGAACATGTAACCAATTGACAAAGCCCAACACCAGCAATGCAATGACGGTCAAATAAAATTGTTGATGTTGCTTGTCTGGATTGTTGTTCGATTGTTGCGGCAATTGTTCATCATTGTCTATGCATCCTTTCAGGCTCAAAGCTTGAATCAAGATAGCACTCTGCGCCAATCTTTTGTTGTTCACGTTGTGTACCCAGCGATATGCTCTTTGCACTTGATTCTTCCAAAATTGGTCAGCAAAATACGAAACCTGTTCATCTTCACCAACACTCTCGATGACTTCATTCTTTCCATTCAGCTTGACAGCTCCTAAAAAGGATAACAAAAACTTTCGCCGACTTGCTGAGAGTTTCTTTGTGTTCAGGTCTGCAATATTTGTTTGAGTTGCTATAGGAAGAACCTTGAGAAGCTGATTCCTCACAGCATCTTGTAGCCAGCAAAGTCTGACATCTATATGCTTGAGCCTTCCTAATCCAGAACGTTGTAACCACTGCCTTCCGCTAGATGAATCACTTCTTGCCTCCAATTCAACTCGCACCCCCGTCATGAACTGCCATACCTCTTTCAGCAAAATGGCTTCGCTGGCCCCAGAAGTTAGGGCTAACACCTCAGCTTCACAAGAACTCAATGAGACTGCCTTTTGTGTCCGGCTGTACGACAAAATTGGCAAAGAGTTCAACAGCACAATCACCGATGTTGTTGACTTTCGTGCTGCTCCTCCAGCCCAATCGCTGTCACAGAAAATCTCCATCACATGTTCTTCTCCATCAAAATCTATGTCCGTGACATTGTTCAGCCTTCCTGCCATCTTGCTTCCAGAAGGGTGTAAGGTAAGCGGAATGTCAAATCTGCTGTTCCCTTGAGGTACAATATGAGTTGTATCAAACACCGTTCTGCCTGCTCTGTCGGGTTTCGCATAAAACCAGCCAGTGATTTCACACAGAATTGAATGTCCAATCGCTCGTGCGACATGTACATAGCTGTTCCCAAACCTGTTCTGAAAGCTGCTTGTCGTTCTTCATCTAAGTCAGCTGTTGTATCAGGTTGCATCAACAGGTTATGCTCAGGAATTTGTTTTTCTTTTCGCCTTTGCGAATGGTACAATTTGATCAGATTGTCTGGGAATTTGGAACTCGGTTTAATGTAGATACCGTCAGGCTGCAACACATATGTCTTTTTCAAATAAGACAGTTCTTCTCCTCCTCCGAGGCCTTCCACCGGAAATGGCCCTTCTGCTTGCAACTTGTAATGCTTTTCCAGCTCTGCAATCACCCACTCAATATCCTCCTTTGTCTCTGCTGCTATCAACTCGTCGTCAACATGAACGTTGATCACAATCTTACGGGTCTGATGTCTCAAAACTGAAGGCATAGCTGTGCAAACATAGAAACCAATCTTTTGTAAGTTGTGTGTGTGAAGTCTTGGAACCATCTTTGAGCCCCATTGCGTTGTCCAGGTAACACGCGTTTCAGCTCCCAAATGGTATCTTGAGACAACTGTAGCAAATCCTTCATCCACTGCGAAATCTCAACATAACAAATCTCTTTCTGCTCAACCGTGAGATCTGAAATATCTAGACTTGCCAACTTCCAACCTTGAAAAATGTGACACAGAAGGAAAAGGTCTCTTCTGTTGATGGTCCAGTTCGAAACTCCCTGGCCACAATCCTGCATCTCCTTCTCCAGCTTCCCTGTCGAAATCGCCAGTCGAACACTTCTTTCAGGTCAATCCACTTTCCATTTTGGTCCATCTGTTGTCTTGTCAAAACCTTCACCACTCCAAGATCTGTTAACTTCTGTATCTCTGTCTTCATGGCATCTCCGTCCAACTGTTTCAACTCTGCTGCTGAAACTTCAGGGGGTCGTTCTCCATGGAAATCCACCTCCATCTCATTCATTTCACTCTCCACCAACTCCCAATCAATGTCGTCTTCCCAACAAACATCTCCATGTGGTCTGTCCACCACATCAACACTTCCAGCAAACAAGGTATTGGATTGTCTTCGAATCGTTTGGATGTACCTCTCAACTCGAGCCGTTCTGCCTTTATGGTAAGGCTTGCCAACTTTCTTCGAAGTCTTGTACCCCATGTCCTGCCTGATCATCACGATCATGTCCAACAAGCCTAATGTAGCAGGTTCTGAATCCATCACATATACGACTTCTCCCAAATGGTTCAGCCCAAGGGAAAATTTCACACAGAACTCTGCAAGTGCTCTCCATGCTCCTTTCGTCCTTGCCGGAAAGATTGCTCCAAATCTTGTCATGGTGTCCAGCAAAACTAGGGAAGGGCAGTTTCTTCCCAAATACATCCAATCCATCTGTATGTGAGGAATACCTGAGCTCTCAACCGCCCCGTCCGTGTTCGACAAAGTATGGTCCTCTTTCGACTTGGTCTTCAAACATGCATTACACCAGGGGGCAAAAGGAAGGTGCGTTGCTTCATGCCGTTCGATTGCTCTTGGATCAGTTGGTTTCTCCATTCCCTTCTTTTGCAGCACTGGCTCAGGTCCCAACTCCAACTTCTGCAGATTCGTGCGAGACCTGTCAACGTCCTTCTGAAACTGTTTGGTCACATAAGAACACAACCTGTCATACAGTTTCGACTTGGAACCGCTGGCATTAATGCCTAAGAAATTGCATCCATCTTGCAAGTCCTTGACCCGACTGTCTTTGGTGAGTTCACGGCCATTCACCCATACCGACTCCAATTACTCTTCATGTCCTCCGGCCATACCTTTTGCCTCCAACATTGGAACATCCTGTAACTCTTGTCATATTTATGGCTCTGATGCAAACAAATGAACTCCTCTCTGTTCGTCTTCTCGTTTCTTTAGTTCATCCATAATTTCAGGCAGCTGTTCATCTGCCACCAATGTACACAAACAATCGCTCAATGGAGAAATGTAACGTTGTGGAAAGGTCAAAATAGTAGTTGGCAACACAAGTCCAGGAATGTCACTTTCCAAATCATCCAAAAGAGCCAACTCCTGTGAATGCTCAATGACCTCCCAAACTGGTCCTACCAAGGCGATTGTTGTTCTGAACCTCCAAGTCACACGAGAAAGAGCTTCTCCAGGATCCACAAATGCTCTGCCATGGCGTCTGTTGACTGGATTGCCGTTTTCAAGAAAAGACCAACCTTCTTTCAATGAATCGACATCAAAACTCATTCTCACATATGCTCCTCGAACATGGCCTCGATTTGGCTGCTCCACATCGGCTTCGGTGGCCCTTCTGACATGTGCCAGGACACTCAAACTGTTCTTCCTGAAAAATACCGGAATGCGAAATCGACCATTTGGTGAAGTCAAAATCCCTGCACAAGAAGAAAATCCCAGCCTATTCACCATCTCTGCATCACCTGACAGCTGTTCACCAAATGTCCATCCTGTTTTCAGCATTCGACCAAAAGAAAGGAGTATATTGGTGACGTTCGAAACCACAAAAGATTCACTGATGCAGCATCCAAAGTTGTCATCTAGGCAATGCTCAAACTCCACCTGTGCCTGTTTCATTCCTCCAACTGCCAATGAATTGCCCTGTGCGTCCTCGAGCTGTAAATTTGGAGATGGAATGTCCTGACCTGCAAGGCACCTGTATGGCAGCAATGAAACGTCAGCTCCGGAATCTAGCACTATCCATTCGCTTTCTTCAACATTTTCAACCACTCTCACAAACATTTTCTCTTGTTCTTGCGTTGTTGATCCCCGCTCAAAACTTGTCTCCTGAT